ACCTCTAAACCATATTCTTCTTCATATAATCCAGTTTCTCAAATTATTTTTTCAGCATACAGACTAAACAAGTATGGGAAAAGAATATAACCCTGGCACATACCTTTCCAAACTTTAAACCATTCAGTGTTCCCCTGTTCTGTTCTAATGATGAATTGGGAAAGGATTGAAGCTTGGATCCACCATCAACACTTGTGGAAGCAGCAATCGAGATCAAACGACGTATTGCAATAGGCAAATCTGCTGTACAAGAGCTCTTTTCAGGAGCTTTAAACGGGGTTCATTAAGGGGGCCTGACCCAAGCCATGGTATTTTCAGTAGCCTCATGTGCATGTGAAAGTTGGACAATGAATAATGATGATTGTAGATGAATTAATGCATGTGCATAGGGTCTCTATGGGTCAGAACCGATTGAATAGCACCTAACAACAAACCTCTAACAGCACTAAACAAACTGACCAAGGGACCAAATCCTATGAGGTGTTTGGTTATACATATGCAGCCTTAGCAGCTAGCTACACTTTTTGTTATCACTGTATTATCTATGACACAATTTTTGCCAATTCAGCTTTTTATACATACATAACTTATTGATAGCAATTAATCAGCTGTTGTTAGTGCCCTGAGTGAAGATTTACAGAGAAGAGCATCAGTTCCTTCATTTAACAAATCATACACTTTGTTTCATCTCAGTGATTGCAATCCCCTCTATACATATATGTAACACTTCTTATTTATGCTTTTTTCTTTTGATGGGCCTTTAGATTGTGTTTCTACTTTTGCTATTGTAAATAGTGCTGCAGTGAACACTGGTGTACAAGTCTGTTTTTGAATCTCTGCTTTCAAGTCTTTTGGGTATATACCTAGGAGTGGAATTGCTGGGTCATATAGTCGTTCCATTTTAATTTGTTATGAGTCCCTGTTTTCCATTGCAGCTGTGTTATTTTGCATTTCCATCCGCAATGGCTGAGGGTTCCAGTTTCCCCAAAATCTTTTATTCTTTTTTTTTTTTTTTTTTAAATCTTACCTATCCTAGTGGGAGTGTAATGGTAACTCATTTTGGTTTTGAGTTGTGACTTTCTTATAGCTTATGGTGCTGAGCATCTTTCCATGTGTTTGTTGACCATCTGAATATCATTTTGGTAAAATGCCCATTTTATAGTTTTGTTATCTTTTTATTAAGTTATCAAAGTTTTATATATATTTTGATTATTAGATTCTTATTAAATAAATGGTTTCTGAAGGTATTATCCCAGTCAGTAGGTTGTCTTTTCATTTTTTTGGTGTACAGTCTTTTGATGAATAAAGGTCTTGAATCTTTAGGAAGTTTCTGAGTTATAGTTGTAGTTTTAACTTTATGAACAAGAGCTCTGCTTTCTTTAAACCATTAACAATCTACTTTCTGATGGCTGTTGGAGTTTTCATTACTTTGTAGCACTCTTGACAACAGGCTACTTTATTTATTTACTTAATTTCTAGTATAAGTAAGGTGACACTAATTCGTGGGTTATGTTTGAGTTTGCTTATGTGGTTTTAAAAAATTATTTATTTTTGTCTTTGTTGAGCTTATATCCAGCAAAAAAACTTGAATGAATTCACATTTCTTCATGAACATTTCAGTGACATTGATCCTATTTTTCTAGTTGTGTAACCCTTCTCACATTCCTTTTCTAAGTTGTTTCTCCCCTGCTCACATAAACTTACTGCTCCCTGAGGTCCCGATCTCATCTTCTGAGTGCTAGCTATTGTGCATTTGATCCCATAGAGATAGTCCTGGAATGAGCATAGTGCTCAAGGCAGACATTCTTTACTAGCTAAACCTAACTAGTATTTGGCTTTAAGAAGACTTCAGGCGATTTTTTTTTTTGGTTTAAAGTTTAAAGATTATCTCAGGGCAGTAGTTTCAGGGGCTCATCTATACCCTTCATGGCTCCAGAAATTCTGGATTCCATGAGAATTTGAAAATCTTGTTGTGCATTTTCCCCATTTTGATCAGCAATTCTCTGTGGAATCTTTGATCTGAATGTTCAGTAATGGTAGCCAGGCACCGTACAGCCTGGTTTTAAGGCTAAGGTATATGTTTTTAAAACTCAATAACATTGGAGCAGCTAGAAGAGTCACTAAAATTATACCATAAGATGAAAGTGGATCTAGCTTTCTTGAGTCTCTGATAGAACATGTTGGTACTTTATGCACAACAGGACAAAACACTGCCCAGTCCTGTGCCATCTTCACAATTATATTTGAGCCCATGGTTGTAGCCAGCATGTCAGTCCATTTGGTTGGGTGTCTTCCTCTTTTTTGCTGACCCTTCCTCCACTTTACCAACCATGATGCCCTCCAAGGTCTGATCCCTCTTAATATATAACCAAAGTTGATGAACTATTTAAAATTTGTCTTTGGGTGGAGGATAGTTGTACATTTGCAACTATGCAGTTCTTTAATGTTAATCTCAGTTTTAAAGATGAGAATACTCTTTAATAAAAATTACTTAGCAGAGTACAAAAACAGTTGACTGGCAAAATCAAGTTCTTTCTAAGTTATTTAACATTGGTCATTTGAAATTCTAAACCATAACAAAGGCATCTAAGAAAAAACTATGGGAAAAGGAGAACATACAGTGATTGACTCCTTCCCCCCTAGGTTTTCTTAATTTGCACAGTAGAAGACGCCAGTATATGGTATTCCCTGCACTTTTATAACAGCAGAAGGGAAGTCTTGTTCAAGAAACATAGAAAAGAACAACCTAGATTTAAGAATCCATCAATATTCAGATGTAAGAATGCAATTCTACTGTCAAGCACAGATTAAATGTGTTAAAGGCAGAGCTGGTTTTTTCCCCCTATGGCTTTCTTTAGATTACTGTTTTTGTTTGTGCTCTGTTTTTCTATTTAGCAGTTTTATTTTGTTGTGGATTGCTTATATTTTGCTGGTTAGATAAAGTCATAGCTAAGAGCCTAAAGGCCTCAATGTGATGAATAGTGACATTAAAATGGTCTCCCTTTCTTCATGTTCTGGTAGTAGCAATGCTAATAGTAGTCCTATAATGACCTTTATGTAGCATTTACAGTATGCTAGACAAAAAGAAGATAAGTGCTTTATGTATTATTAACTCATTTAATTCTCACTCTATGAGATAGATATTATTATCCCCATTTACGAAGGTAAAATGGAAGCACAGAGGTTAAGTAATTAAACTACTCCAAGTAGTAATAACTAGTAAGTGGCAGAGCTAGGAATTGATCTGAAGCAGCCTGGCGCCAGCGTCCTTCCTCTGACCCATTATACTGTAGTGTGTTTATTTGACACCCATATAAGTAAAGGGGAACGTGAGATAAAAAAATGCTTTTAAAATCTTTGTGGGCTCTATGGAACTTAGGAACTTATTATTTGTTCATTCAGAGTACCCTGTAGAATCAGTGATTACAGAGAGAGCATTTAATCTCAAAGCATTCATCCCTGTTTTCAAACTAGTATTTTCAGATCTGCTCTCCATCTAAGACCTTGCATTTAGAAAAAATACGCTTGAACTTTTTAGTTGAATTGGCAGATCAAGAGCTTACAGACAGGATATTGCATGTGAGTACTTAGACTGTATGTGCTTGACCCCCTAAAACAGTAAATTGGACACATCACCATGTTTCTACTAGAGTGCAGCAGAATTGGGAACTCTGACTTCACAGTGTTTGTTGTTGTTGCTAAGTGCCACTGAGTCGGTTCCCACTCATAGTGACCCTATATAGGGTCTCCAAGAAGTTACTGGGCTTGAACCTTTGGCCTATTCGTTAGCAGTCCAGTGCCACACCAGGACTCCTCAAAGTGTTTAAGTGTGTGTTTTATGTGTATTTTGGTAGCTAGACCTCTTCACAATTGGAGCCAACCTTATCCAGATTCGAAAAACTTTTCAGAGCCATTGAAATCCAAGATATTTCTAAGCATTTTTAGGTTGCATTGTGAGCATGTGAAACATTAACCATTCTGGAGACTTGTTTTAAGTAGATAAATAAAACAATCTGCCTATTTTTGAAAGCTTAAAATTCAGGTCTGAAGAACTTCCTTTTAATCTTGCAGAATTAGTTCTCATGTGGACATAGATTTGCAACCCTTCTTGCCTTAAGCCTGTAAATTTTTTTTCTTTATTTTCAAAAAAATTGTGTGAAAATATATGTAATAAAAGTTGCCAGTTCAGCCATTTTTACATGTTTAATTCAGTAGCATTGATTACCTTCATCATGTTGCACAACCATTGCCACTTTCCCAAATTATTCCACAGACATTCACAGAATCCTGGGAGTTCCTAAGCAATGATTCCCTCTTTCCTTTCCCTTTTACCTCTGGTAACCTCTGACTGATAAGTGTTGGTCTCTCTCTATTTGCCTATTTCATATAAGTAAGATTGTGCCATATTTGTTCTTTTGTGACTTACTTCACTCAACATAATGTTTTCAAGGTTTTATCAGTGTTGTAGCATGGATTAGGACTTTATGGCAGAATAATATTCCATTGTTTGTACCACATTTTGTTTATTTGTTTGTTTGTTGATGGGCATTTAGGTTGTTTCTACCTTTTGCCTATTGTGAATAATGCTGCAGTGGATGTTACTATCTGATTTAAAATACCAGTGCTTGGATTTTCTTTTGCTTCTAGTCTTCTTGGGTTTTGTGTATCTGGCATGTGGATCTCAGTACCTGTGTTAGACCTGGTACATTGTTTGGGTCAGTCACATGTTTGGAGGGAGGAATAGTAGGTCACTGGTAGCGTAGTGGTTACGAATCGGGCTGCGAACCTTAAGGTCAGCAGTTCGAAACTACCAGCCGCTCCACGGGAGAAAGATGAGGCTTTCTACTCCCGTAAAGATTTACACCCTCGGAAACCCTGTACAGGGTCGCTATGGGTCGGACCCGACTCAATGGCACTTAACAACAACAACAACAGTTCATGCATCAAGTGTGTTTTTTATGGAAAAGATGACTTTCTTATGTTCATTTTCTTTCCCTTAGGTCTATGAAGGCTTAGACATCATCACCAACAAGGTTTCTGTCCAAGAACAGAGAATCTGCCGGCATCACATGATCAGTTTTGTGGATCCTCTTGTGACAAATTACACCGTGGTGGACTTCAGAAACAAGGCAACTACTCTGATATCCTTAAGAAAGCTAGCAACTAGGCTTGGTGGTTGCAAGGCAGCCCAAACCAAGTCCTCTTTCTAATGGTAATTTCTTCTAAGCAGGAGCTCTCCAGACCTAACTATCAGGAGGGAACATCTCCATTAGAACTATGTGGTTGGAAACATTGAGTGCTTTGCTACTCAAAAAGTGTAGTCTTGGAAAGACTGTATTTCCTGGGAATTTGTTAGAAATGCTGGATATTGGGTCCCGTTTCAGAAACTACTGACTCAGAGTCTTCATTTTAACAAGAGTCTCAAGTAATTCATGTGCACATTAAAATTTGAGAAGCGTTAGTGTAGTTGAGTCCTGGTTGGTTAGTGCCCTGGGTTTGCAAGGTTGGTTTGAACTTCCAAGGTCGGTGGTTCTAGCTCACCAGCCGCTCCTTGGAAACCCTACACAGGGTCTCCATGAGTCAGAACTGACTTGATGGCATTTAACAACAACAAGTTTAGTTGAAAGAACACTGATTTAGAGATTAAAAAGATCTGTGTCCCAGACTTAGCGCTGCCTCTTTTTACCATGTGAATTTTATTGGGTAAAACATCTAATTAACTCCCCTGAGTACCAGTTTGCTACCCTTTAAATGGAGATAACACATTAATTTATAAATATATTGAAGTTACATTAAGAATGCCAAAGGAGTTGTTGGGTTGGGGGTGAGGGGTGACTGGAAAAAAATAGTTCTAGGTGAGACTAAGACATTACTGAGAAAGAATAAGGGTACTTTGTACTGCCAGATATTAAGACATTAAAAAGTCATAATTAGAATAGTAATGGAACTTTCATAGTCCTAGACAAATTTATGCCAAGAATAATAAGTTCATATATAAGCTCAGATGTATTATATTTGTAGCTTATGATCAAGGTGTAACATTTTTAAACAATGGAGAAATGAAGAAATAGTTCATTGTTCCTGGGACAGTTGTTTTTGGGGAAAAAATAAGGTCAAATCCTTACATATGATACAATAATAAAATCTGGATGGATTTCAGAGTTATATATATTAAGTGCAATGGGACAATAATTGAGTACTTTGATCCTTAGAGTAGAGAAGGACTTGAAAATACTTTTTTTTTTTTTTAAAGAAGGAAAATAACTAGATTTAAGTATGTAAGAATAAAGAATTTGTATTGGTAAAAATGTATCAACCAGAACTCTTAAGTAACTACCTTAGAGAAATGCCTCTACAGTAAACCAGGAGGTATGTGGTAGATCTTGTTCCTAATAGCAAAAAACATATAAACACTGAAAGAATGTATGACATTCGCTACATTCATATAGTTAAATACTTTCCATCAGTAAAAAAGCAGCTGAAGAAATTACAGCTACAAACAACAAGGAATGTGTAAGAATCTTGAAAACAATTTTAAGTGGGGAAAACTGTAAACGGTTACATATATGTTGGGTTTATTAAGGTTAATAAAAAGCAAGCTAACTTAGCCATTATGTTATTCAGGAAAATATATATGTATCAGCACTGATGTAAAGAAAAACACAAAATGATGAAAAACAAAAGAACCCCAAACAATTCAGGTTCCAAACCTCTGAGGAGATATGTAGGAGGTTGGGTTGGGAGTGAATGTACAAGAGATTTCAAAGGAATTGGTAGTATTCCATTTCTTACATTGGGTTCATAAGTCATTGTCATTACTAGATTTCATAATTTACATATGTTACATATATTCTTTTGTATGTACTGAATATTTTATAATTTAAAAAAGAAAACTACCCACTATAAACAAAATTTTAGAAAAGCAAACCACAAACAACAGAGATTATATTTGTAACATATGAAAGGCAAATGGTTAATATTCTTATATATGTAGAATCCTTACAAATCAATAAGAAACGTGCATAAAGGGCAGGAGCAGTAATTCACAAAGGAAGAAATAGAAATGCTGATAAATATAAAAAGGGTTTATCCTTGCTGTTACTCAAGGATGTACAAGTCAAAATAATAAGGTAGTATATTTTTTAACCTATCAAATGTGTAGAGATTAAAATCCAGATATGAATTCCTGCCCTACCTGCTTTACGAAGTTGTTGTATCATATGAAATAATATATATGAAAACCTTTTTCAAATTAAAATGTATCACCATATGTAAGTCACTGCAGTAAGACTTGATGCAAAATAATTAAGATCTTCCGAGGGTAGCAAGAGAATGACTTAATCAGATCACTTATAGGTTAGGATATTTGTGAAGGTAGGGAGGAGCTTGGAGTCATAATGTCAGAATACCAACCTTGATTTGACAGATAAAGGTACCAGATATTGAGGCCCAGAGAGAAGGAGGAGTTTGCTGAAGATCACAGTTTTTTTCATGACTTTGAGCAAACAAATGAATCCCTTTCCCACCATATATCTCCTGTCTTATATCTCCTCTTTTCTCCTCCACGTGCTCCCTTTCTTTGATATATCTCTATTTTTCTATGCCACCCCTTTTCTGTTACCTTTCTCCCTTAACCTTTGTTAATTATACTCATCAGTTGGAGTTTTGTTACTATATAAGCGTATGTTTCTTTTAATTAATTTAAAGGGTAGAATAGAGAATTTCTGTTTATCTTTTTAAAACAAGTAGGCAGTAATTCTTCTTTATGATCCTTGATTGGTAGCATCTTTCTCTTCTCTCACCCCAACCTCTGAAGGGTTATTGGGCTTCTGGTAGAAGAGGTTATGTATTTCTTTGCCCATAGAGCTGTCAAGGAGAAGTGTAACGTAAGAAAAGGAAATGTAAACAATTCCTTACGTATTAAAAGTAATGTTTAAAATGTCACTTACAAAGCCTTTATTGAAATAAATAATTATATATTCAATAGAGATTCTAAAGAGAATAATTCTTAGTTGTTGTTGTTGTTATGTGCCGTGGAGTCGGTTCCGACTCATAGCGACCCTGTACAGGGTTTCCGAGGCTGTAAATCTTTACGGGAGCAGAAAGCCTCATCTTTCTCCCGCGGAACAGCTGGTAGTTTCGAACCGCTGACCTTGCGGTTCACAGTCCGATTCGTAACCACTACGCTACCAGAGCTCCTTAGTAGGGGGATAAAAACAATAGTGGCCAAAGTAAATTGATTGCTTACTGTTTTCTAGGCATTGTGATAGGGGATTTATGTGCATTGTCTCACTCAATGCTCGTCAGAACTCATGAGGATCTTTTAGACAAGAAAACTGAAGCTCAGATAGGTCAACTTGCCCAGGAGTTGGGGTAGGAAATTAAAGTCTGTTTGTCTCCAGAGGCTGTGGTTCATAGTTTATTTGGTGATGTCTCAAGTAGCAAAAACATGTACTTCTCATAAATGGTAGGGACTGGCCAAATCTAAGAAAAGCCAGTTTGTGTCTTACCTTTCAAGACTAAGTTGCACAATGGATGCTACCCTGATGGCTTCTGAGAAGAAGACACTTGATTCTAGAAGTCCTTGGGCGTGTGCTCCTTATGTTGAATTCAGATACCAACACAACTGAATTTTAGCAGCAAGACCTAGGAGGTTCTTGAACTGGAAGGAATTGCCATCATGTATTTGCCTTTGTTTTATGCAAGCTCCTTTAGAACCGATTGGAAATGATTTTAATATTCTTAAGGAACCTTGATTACTAGTATCAGTTCATCTTGGTTTCCAGCCTTTTTCCTTTGCTTCGCAGATAAATGAATGTGGTTTCTTGCTAATGCCCTCTTTCCCAAGAAAGTCAGGATATGACTCTTCTCGATATGAAATATTATGTCATCTTTCTTAATGTTCACATTGAAGATATATTTGCCCGAGACAAAATTCCCATTGTCGTGGGAGGAACAAATTATTACATTGAATCTCTGCTCTGGAAAGTTCTTGTCAATACCAAGGTATGTTTGGTTCATTTGTAACTCACCAAAGAAATGGGTTCTACTTTCTTGCTAGTACATTTTAGTGGGAGCATGGTTGACTTTTGCCTATTATACTCAGCAACTGTAATTTTCCTACCTCTATATTGAAGTGTGCTCCTCTAGGCTGGCCTAAGGGCAGGGGCTGTGTGTGGGAAAAATGTTCCTCTGTGGCATAATTAGCATCTCCATGTAAGTTAACAGTGTATTAGTCTGATTCAGCATTTCCTGGTTGGCAGCAGAATCCATATGGAAGAGACATTTCCAACACTGACCATTCTTACAGGGATGCGTGGAGTGAGCCTTTGCAAACTGTATTGTGTCATGTTAATTCTGGTTCACTCTTCTGTCACCTTTACTGAGAAGACTGGATTCCTGGATAGACTGTTAAGATAGACGTGGTAGCCCTGGTACTTGTGTGCACTTCTGACCAGGAAGCAGGGTACCTGAATCCTCCCCTGTCAGTAAGCCCTGCTTCCCCTTTGCTTGCTGTGGCCTCACAGTACTTACCACCATGAACTGGAATTCTGTTTATGATCTGTGCAAGGTCTTTTGATCCAACTCTATTCTATATTCCCAGTATTTTGCAAAGTCCCTGTCACATATATGGTCTCAATGTTTGTCAGATTGTTGAATTAAATGTGCTTAAAAGTCTTCCTTTAATAGCCCCAGGAGACAGACACTGAGAAAGCGATTGACCGGAAGGTAGAACTTGAAAAGGAGGATGGGCATGCCCTTCACAAGCGCCTTAGCCAGGTGGACCCAGAAATGGCTGCCAAGCTGCACCCACATGACAAGCGCAAAGTGGCCAGGTAAGAAAGCCTGGGCCAGCTGACCCCAGATTCTTTTGAGTTGCCAGACCATCAGTTCTTCAGTTTGCTGGGATGAGGAGAGAGGTTAGGTAACAGCAGCTAGTGGAGATTGACATGTTGTTCTAGCTCAGCAGGTTGGGAGGCCCTGAGTTAATGCTTCAATCCAACTACCTCAATAAATAGTTGCATCCTACTTTGTTGTTACATTTTAAATGCATAATACAATATAGTCTTTCCCTAGGGCCTATGTAATCTTGCTTCATTTTCTGTTTGATCTTTGCTTGTATACCAGTTTTCATATAAATATTCTGGCATGCAGTCCGTTTACATTATGATTTGGGTTTCATAATTGATTGTGCAATGCTGAGTTCTGCCCCAGCAGCTTCCCCAGTGGGAGGTGGATTTTATAAACGGTCTCATAGATCAGCTCCCCTTTACTATGTAGGGAGACTTTTTGTAGGAAGAGAGGTGATGAATGAATTTATAAGGTCTTATTTTCATAGGCTGTTTTGACATTGCAGCCTCATGGATTAGGTTTTTTTTTTTAACAGCGTTAAGAATGTTTTCACATCTGACATAGTTGTTGTTAAGTGCCGTCGAGTTGATTCCAACCCATAGCGACTCTGTATAAGGTTACCAAGGAGCAGCTGGTGAGCTTGAACCGCTGACCTTGCAGTTCAAATGGCTTTGCAGTCTGGCGCATTAACCCACAGCGCCACACCAGGACTCTGACATAGTAGAAGATCTAATAAAGAACCAAAAACCTGAGGGGGGTGGGCTTCAAAAAATATGTGGAAAGTTTCATTATCTTTCAATTTTATTTTTCCATGAACGTTTGAAGCCCCTTCACATAGATGGTTCTGTGATATAATACTAATTATTATAGTAACACTCGGTTACTTATTCTTTTTTTTTTCATTGTTTCTTATTCTTTTTCTAAAAATTATTGCTCTCCAAGGATCCTGTTTTAGAAAATATTTTTTTTCTAATTGTGAACCGCTTCTCATGAAATATATAACTATAGACTAAACTTTTTCAGGTAAGATTGTGCTTTAGAGGGCTTCAAACCATTACAGTAGCTTAAGTTCTTTTTCTCCATATGGGTAGTATCAGCCTGGTGACAGGGTAGGTTCTAGAGCAGGGGTGGGGAACCCTTATTCTGCCAACATTAGTAACACCATTTGCGGGCCACACAAAATGATCAACTTGAAAATTAACTGGCTATATTTGGTCAAACGTTTACTTAACTCACCCCTTAATGTAATAGCTAAGGATCTCTGATAGCGTAGTGGTTACAAATTGGGCTGTGAACCGCAAGGTCAGCAGTTCAAAACTACCAGCTGCTCTGCGGGAGAAAGATGAAGCTTTCTGCTCCCGTAAAGATTTACAGCCTCAAAAACCATCGGAACTGACTCGACAACACTTAACAACAACAATGTGATAGCTGGAACTGTGGTTGCCTTGGTAGGGCGAGACCAAATGATTTTGAGGGCCGTGGGCCAGATGCTTTAGATTAATGATGTTTACACTTGAAATCCTGGTGTTTCATTTTAAACCTTTTAATAGAAATCTTTCAAAGTTTTTGAAAACTAGGTGCATCATGAGGAACATTTATATATATATATATGGTAATGGTGGTCGTTATGTGCCGTGGAGTCAGTTCTGACTCATAGTGACCCTGTACAGGGTTTCCGAGGCTGTGAATCTTTACGGGAGCAGAAAGCCTCATTCTTTCTCCCGCAAAACAGCTAGTAGTTTTGAACTACTGACCTTGAGGTTAGCAGCCCGATGCGTAACCACTATGCTACCATATATATTTGTTGTTAAGTGCTGTCAAGTTGATTCCGACCCATTGCGACCCTGTGTAGGGTTTCCGAGGGGCAGCTGATGAGCTTGAACCACGGACCTTGCAGTTCAAACGGCTTTGCAGTCTGGCGCATTAACCCACAGCACCACAACCTTTTTATGTGTCATGACATGATTTAAAACTTGATGGTTATTATTCTCTTATTTTATTAATCAGTTCTTCCTTATCACCTCTCCTCAATTTGTTACTTCTAAACGAGTTAATGTTAGGAGTGCTGGTGGCACCGTGGTTAAAGCACTCAGCTACAAACCAAAGGTCGACAGTTTGAAGCCACCAGAGAAAGACATGGGAATCTGTTGTATAGATTACAACCTAGGAAATCTTATGGGACAGTTTTGTGCAGCCCTATGGGGTTACTATGAGTCAGTATCAACTCAATGGCGTACAACAATCAATTACTTAGGACCTTGAAAATTATGACTTGGTAAGAGTCATTTGTTCTAGGCGAGAACTTGGGAGTCTCTTCTATAGAGAGAGTTGGAGGACTTTTTTTTCATTGTTCTTTGGATTTGAGAATTGTATTCTAACTTCTAGATAAGTGAGATCTCTATTGCTACAATTTTTTTTCTTCATAGATTCTCTTTGAGTGATCACTGGTATTTTAGGAAGTGGAATTGGGTCAGGAAGTAAAAGATCATTTTCAAGCTGATAAGTTACAATCCCCCTGAGTGGTAGAGTATAGATTTGGGAGTTATATGACCAGGTACTTCATAGTATAATGGATACAAACAGAAGTGTTTGGTGGTCTTAAGAATAAGAATGTGAGTTCTTTCTTTAGCGATCTTTGTGCCAGTCGAGTACTGAATTAGCCAAGAGCATTCTTCATTAATTTTAGACATATTTAAAAAGAAAGTTGATGAGCTGGATATACAACATACTTTTGTACTGTGGGAAAGGTGCTCCAGCGGGACCAGACTTGTTGGCTTGTAATGAAGTGTCCCAAATAAGCTCTTTACTGCTTACCTGAAAGTGAAGTGAATCCCATTCTATTTGTAGAAAAGAAATCTGCTTAACTGATTTCAGAAAAGTTGTTGTGTGTTTAGAAGAATAGTATTATTTCTAACTGTACTTAAAATTTTACTTAGGACCCTTTTCTGAGTGCTACAGGGTTGGAGAAACTCTGGACCTTCATGTCTGCAGGAGCTTATGCAGTGAGAATAAGACTATAGCTTTCATAATCAACAGTCTCTCCGCGTGTATCACTTGAGAAGGAATATTTCCTAATGGTTTTTATGACTTAGGAGCTTGCAAGTTTTTGAAGAAACAGGAATCTCTCATAGTGAATTTCTTCATCGACAACATGCAGAGGAAGGTGGTGGCCCCCTTGGAGGCCCTCTGAAGTTCCCTAACCCTTGCATCCTCTGGCTTCATGCTGACCAGACAGGTAAAGGCCTTTGGGTGCCCTGCATTTAAAAACACACACACACACACACACACACACACCTGTGCATGGACTTGTTTATCTTTGTGTACGCTGCTTATGTAAAATGCTTAGAATAGTCTATGGCTCATAATAAGCAATAAAGAAGTGAAGAAGTGTTCCTTATTAATTCTGTTGTTAGTATTCATTGATTTAGGATGGCCCAATGCCAAGCGCTATCCTAGGTAAATGTAAATGTCTGAAAACAGACAGAGGACAGTTCTCACCTGGGATTAGAATGGGGTGCATGTGATGGAAAAGAGACTACCATCTAGATAGAGAAGGTCTAAAGGGGACAGACAAGGAATACACTTGTGCAAGGATGTCTTGCCCCCCTGGAATGACCACAGCACTAATTGCTCCAGAAGTAGTAGGTAAGTGGCTATGGTGGTTAGTTAGCTAGTCTGTGGGAGATTTGTTACTAAAATATAATAATGCTCTGTGGTAGGAGTATCCCACCAACATTAAGTGTGCAAATAAGTATGCTGTGAGGTACTTGGGTTTCAGACATGAATAAGAGTTGGCGTCTGCTCTTAAAGGAGCTCCTAGTCTAGTGGGTAACAAATGAGATAAATACTATAGTGTTGTCTTAGGCAGTTCTTATAGAGAAGCAAACCAGTAAAACGTATAAAGAGAAGTTTGTATCAAGGAAATGGCTCATAATTGTAAAGACCTGGGTCCGCAGTAGAAAAGAGAGAGGGAGCCTTTCCTGCCTTGGGAGTAGGCTACATCCCAAGGAAACATCCTTTCAATTGATTGGCTGCTTATAGCCAGTCATCATAGTTAACTGTGCTTGCATTAGGGAATAACCAGAGGAGCTCTTGTAGAGTAGTGGTTATGAGTTGGACTGATAACCTCAAGTTCAGCAGTTTGAAACTACCAGTTGTTCTGTGGGAGAACGATGAGGTTTTCTGCTTCCGTAAAGATTGACAGCTTCGAAACCCCATGCAGGGTCGCTATGATTCAGAACTGATTCCACAGCACACCACCACCATCACCACCACCACCACCAAGGGATAATAACCACATCACAACTGCCAAACCACTGGGAATCCTGGCCCAGTCAAGTTGACACAAAACCCTAACTATCACAAGTGTGGTAAATGCTGGCCTAGAGATCGATTAAAGAGCCATGAGACACAGTCAGAATGATGAGCATTCTCTTGGGGCGTCAGGGACCAGTTTGTAAAGATAACCTATGAACTAGATCTTGGAGGATGAGGGAATGTTTATATGGACACAGTATAGCTTAGTGATTCAGAGAGCACTGAGCTGGACTATGTGGATTCAAAATCTTGCTCCGTCGTCCGTCTTCTAGCTGTGTGAGTTTAAGACAAATTAATTTATCTCTGTGCTTCAATTCTTTCTTCTGTAAAATGGTGAAAATAATGGACACCTCATAGGTTTGTTGAGGATTAGATGAATTGATACATACAAAGTACTTAGAATGTGACTGACACAGTGAGCCCACAAACTTTTAGGGAGATAGGCAAAAAGGTTACTATCATTGCAGGCCAAGAAATAGCAATGAAAGAGATGTAAAGAGCATGACTAGAATGGTGAAAAATTGATTTTAAGTTAACCTGAGCTTCAAATTTTTAGAAAAGGCAAGTTTTTAAGAGTGAAATTTTTGTAAATAAAATTATATACTCAGAGTCTCTCCACTGGAGCAATAATTAGCATCATGATAAATGGAGAAAAGATTGAAGTTGTCGAAAGACTTCATTTTCCTTGGATCCATCATCAACACTTATGGAAGCAGTAGTCAAGAAATCAAATGACATATTGCATTAGGCAAATCTGCTGCACAAGATCTCTTTAAAGTGTTGAAGAGCAAAGATGTCAGTTTGAGGACTAAGGTGCTTCTGACCCATGGTGTTTTCAGTAGCATGTGAAGGTTGGACAGTGAATAAGGAATATTATAAAATTGATGCATTTGAGTGTGGTATTAGAGAAGAATATTGAAGGTGCCACGGACTGCCAGAAGAATAAACAAATCTGTATTAGAAGTACAGCAAGAATGCTCTATAGAAGGCAAGAGGACCAGACTTCATCTCTCATAGTTTGAACATACTATCAAGAGGGACCAGTCCCTGGAGAAGGACATTATGCTTGATAAAGTGGAGGGTCAATGAAAAAAGGGAGACCCCCCCCCACCACCACCAATAAGATGGATTGGCATGTGAAATAGGTTTAAGTGGCAGCAGAAATAGGTTTAAGCATAGCAGCAATTGTGAGGATGGCACAATACTGGGCAGTATTTCATCCTGTTGTGCATAAGGTTGATATGGGTCGGAACTGACTCGATGACACCTAACAACAACAATTGAGCATAAAATAATGGTATCAGATTCATAATAAAGTTGTGTTTGGCCACTATGTCTCAGTGATTAAGACTTCTCGTTTTTTCCTCTTTTATTTGGTTGGCTCAGTAATTCAAGATAGACCTAGGATGGCTTATATTAAAATCCCTCTTTTCTACCTATGATGTGTCATTTGCAGGCCCTTAAATTTGAAATAATAAGAGGTTAGAGTAATATAATAGAAAACCGTAAGGACGAGTAAGCAAGGGTACCTTCAGCTGCCTCTAAAACACAATGGGTAGACATTCCATGCAAGAATAAAATATTTGTCTTTCATAAAAATAGATGTAAAGGTATGGTTTCTTTTTATACAGTCAGAAAGCATATGTGTCATTCTTACTGGGTTTTGTTTTGTTTTTTGAGTTGCAGAGTTTTATGTGTAACAAATTATGGCCTAATCTTTGAAATCTGAATCCTTTCAACCCTATTTGTACAGATTTTCCTCTTTGTGTTGCCTGTCTCTTCACCATGTAAGTATATAGTTGTTAAGTGCCATCGAATCAAGTCCGACTCATAGCGACCTTGTATAGGGTTTCTAAGGAGCAGCTGGTGAGCTTGAACCGCTGACCTTGTGGTTCAAACTGTCCTTGTAGTCCAGCGCATTAACCTGCAGCGCCACACCAGGACTCCAAGCATATAGTTGTTGCTGTTGTTGAGTGCTGTTGAGTAGGTTCTGACCCATAGCAACCCTACATAGGGTTTCCAAGGAGCAGCTGGTGAGCTTGAACTGCCGACCTTGCAGTTCAAATAGCTTTACAGTCTGGCGCACTCACCCACAGTGCCACACCAGGACTCCAAGCATATTGTAGGCACCTACAATGTGTTGCTGGCTAATGGGCTAATTTGATTCAAGTTCTAGATGAGCGCTTGGATAAAAGGGTGGATGACATGCTTGCTGCTGGTCTTTTGGAAGAACTAAGAAATTTTCACAGACGCTATAATCTGAAGAAAGTAGCTGAAAATAGGTGAGGATTTGACTGTTATTTTTGCCATTGTTGATTTTACCCTTATTGGTGTTCTTAAAAGATAATAGACCGTCTTGACTTTAGATCTACTTGTTTATTAGCTTTTGTCCTTAGCATTAGCAAGGCTTGTTGGAAGGCGATTTGGAAATAATTTTCCAGGGAAGTAACCTGGAAGCTGATGGAAGCGGGGGAGGATTTCAGAGAGGCAGTGACTGCTCAGGATCTCACCTTGCTCATCAATAAAGTGAAATGGCTCAGCTCATCCTCTCCAATGCAGTGGCTCATCTGCTGACTCTCTCCTGTTCCCAGCCAGGACTATCAACATGGCATCTTCCAGTCTATTGGTTTCAAGGAGTTTCATGAGTACCTGACCACTGAGGGGAAATGTGCACCAGAAACTAGTAACCAGCTCCTAAAGAAAGGTGTGAATTCTTTCATCTGTGGGGTGGCAGAGTACCTTACTAGTATGGTCTAAGAATGAGCTGAGGCCAGAGGAGTGCCAAAATGGCCTTCAGAATGGAAATTTTCTGTCCTTTAAATCTAGCATTATGCTGTCTACTGTAGGCTGAGTTTTCTCTTCTGCTGGCCTGGGAGGGTCATTCTCGTAGCAAGATAAAAAGTACTTACGCAGATCTTCTTAAAGCTGTTCTATTTTTCAGGTATTGAGGCTCTGAAACAAGTGACTAAGAGATATGCCCGGAAGCAAAACCGATGGGTTAAGAATCGTTTCTTGAGCAGTAAGTCTCACGTGCTTACGTATCCCCTGAGTCTGTCTCTAACCTGAATGTGAATATATTCCGTTTACTCAGAACATGAACTTGTATTTCTGGACCTGCTCTGAGATTTGGATCTGACCTGGAGGAAGATCTATTGTATAAATAATAGTCCAGGGATATTTTTCTTTTGATGGTTTAGGGAAAAAAATCAGTCTTTGGTTTGAGGAGTCAGCCTTATGCTTTGAACAGATGGGTGGTGCAGACAGGTAAGAGCAAAATAGCAGCATTTTCTCAGCAGAGGAGGTGCTCAGGGCTGATTTTAGTTTCAAATTTTATACCTAAAGACCAATCACATTTCTGTAAGGGAGACTTTCATAGTTAAAAATGGCTCTTGGGCTAGATTGTTGTTGCTGTTGGTGAAGTACCATCCAGTTGGTTCTGACTCTTAGCGACCCTGTATAGGGTTTCCGGGCCTTTAAGTCTTTGCAGAAGCAGAAAGCCTCATCTTTCTCCCACGGGAGTGTCTAGTGGGCTAAACCTGTTGGTCTTGTGGGGTGCAGTCCAGTGCTTATCGTATGGAGCAACCACACTCCTCTTGGCCCAGATAGAAAATAATAGAAAGGCAAAATCTTAACCAATTAGTCCAATATTTCTTTTGTGTTCAGATATGCGGTGTTTTGAGCTGTTTCCCTTTATTATTGTTACGTCCCGTTGAGTCGGTACTCATAGCAACCCTATATACAATATAGGGAAACCCTGCTACCCAGGCCCGTACCAAACCTGAAATCATTGCTATGTTTGAGCCCATTGTTGGTACAGCTACTATGCCAATCCTCTAGTCAGACAAGCTTTCTTAGGGTAAAAGGAAGGACATTCTCATTCATTGGACTCTGTCCTATGACCTTGGCACTAAATTTAGTGCTAACCCATTGTTGTTGAATCAATTTTGCATCATAGTTACCTTTAGAACAGGGTAAAACTGCTGCTTAAGGGTTTTCAAGACTAAATCTTTACAAGAGCAGACAACGTCATCTTTCCTCCATGTAGTGGCTAGTGGGTTTGAACCACTGACCTTATGGTTAGCAGGTGAATGCTTAACCCATTACTCCTCCAGGGCCTGATTAAACTCAATGCTTGTTGTTGTTGTTGAGTGTTGTTGAGTTGATCCCAACTCATAACGACCCTGCATAGGGTTTCCGAGGCTGTAAATCTTTGCAGGAGCAGAAAGCTTCATCTTTCTCTCACAGAGTGACTAGTGGACTCAAACCACTGCCCTTATGGTTTGTAGTCCTGTGCTTAACCTACAGAGCCACTGCGTTCCCCCAGACTTGATGTTAGACATAAATTGTTGAGCTGTGAGGTAGATGCTGGTTTTTTCCTTTTATAGTTGAGGAAATGGAGGCCCAGAGAGGTTAAGTAACTAACTGGCCCAAGCCAGGAAGTGATGGAGTATTGAATGCAGCCCACCACTCTTTGTTTGGTACCAGTCTTCTTGTTTCTGTTAGCGGTAATGTTAGCCAGACAGCATTAGCATAGGACTTGGTGAGAAATTGCATGATCAGGAGCTAAAAGGAAACTAAGCATAAGTGAAAACCCAGTTTTACCTTGTGGTCACTTTTTTCATATGCTTGTGAATCATCCCATGTTTACCTTTTGCCATTAGACTTGTGCTTTCAGTTATAGATTGGGACAACCGAGGCTTCCCCCTCAGAGCTGAGGCTCTGAGTATATATCCATGATCATGCTGTTGACCACTGGGTTGCTCAAGCTTTCTTTTCTAGCTCTACTCTCGAGGGCTAGAGTTTTCCCATGGAGTTTGGGTGCCAGGAGGGTCTTTACACCTCTCTCTACTTACCCTGCTTTCTCTGCATGTCCTGTTAAGATAGGAGAAGTGTTAGCGTCAGCTGAAATTGAAGTCAGTACTACAAACTTCTAATGCATCTCTCCCCAGGGCTGACAATTAGTCTGTAACAAAAGACATTTTTTGTAATGATTTGGAACTTCCTCCTGTGGTAAAGCCACAATACTCCCCCGTCTCTGAGACAGGCGGGGTTGACAGCGCAGCGTGTCATAAGCTCGTTCCTTATTCGCGTGTGTGCTGGCATAGCCCTGGTGCTAGAGTGAAAGGCACAGCTGCCCTGTAAATCAGGAGCTGCATGTGATTGGCCAGGGCTGGTCTGCTGGGCTATGGTGCTGGCAGGAAGCCAGAGGGACTTCCCCACCCCAGCTTGGCCTTGGACCCAAGCCAGAAACAGCAGCTGGGAGCCGAGAACTTGTTGAAAGGTGCTTAGACAGGGCACAGAAGCCCAACAAAGGATTTAGAGGAGAAAGGAAAATGTAGAGTGGCCTGGAAACAGGTGCAGAGCTTAGCCAAGGCCAGGTGTGCTGTGGATGCTGCCTGCACCCTCCCAGTCTCACCTTTCCGTGTGGTGGCAGGTGCAGCCCAGTCCAGTTTATGAAGAATCGTATTTGTGGTTGGCACAATCAAAAGGCCAGCACCTGCCAGCCGTTGGCATCCTGAGGCCTTTGATGTTTTTGTCCACAGGGTGATGCTCTTTGCCTCTCAGCAACTGACGTAACCTATCTGTGGAAGGTACTTTAGTATGTAGACTTGGGGAGCTACTAGCAGAGACAGCACTCTGGCAGGATGCTTGGCTCAGAGCTGTCCTGTCTGCTACTTTCTATCTCATCACCAATCCCAAGTGTTCACTAGAGCGTGTTTCTTGAATCTAGATCTGTTTCCTAAAAAGAGCTCAAGTAGGTCAATTCTAAACCTTCTTTCTAGTTCTCAGATTAGTGCTCATTGGCTGATACTCTTCTGTTCCCAGTCCATGATTATTAACATGGTACCAAGGAGTTTCATGAATGCCAGACTCCTGAAGGGATATATAAATCTGAGACTAGTGACTGCCCGAAAGGAAATGCAGGAACTCTTCTTCCAGAGAGTGACATCACTGCTTGATGATGTGGGACTTAGAACAGAAACTTACTTAAAGTGGTTTGATCATTTCCCCACTAGAATGTGTTGACTTTAAGTTGTAACCCACATAGTTGTCATTATTCTGTTTTCTTGACCGATTTGGAATATATTGCACATGCATCTCTAGTTTATATAGCTAGACTTGTTGGTCTCAAACCAGTCAGCCTTTTAGGTCTTTCTTGGGTTGTTGGTAGCAGTTTGGTTTGGTGTTTCTGTTTAGAGGTAAATCACATGCTCACAATGTTTATTCTCTTGGTTCCAGGTATTTCCCTTGAATATTTTGGAGTCCTGGGAGCAGAATAGATTGGACCTTTGAGGCTGACCTCTCACAACTTTTCTTTGTCATCATTAGGGCCTGGTTCCAGTGTCCCCCCGGTATATGGCTTAGAGGTATCTGATGTCTCAAAGTGGGAGAAGTCTGTACTTGAACCTGCTCTTGAAATCGTGCAAAGTTTCATCCAGGTGATTGTTAATCATGTTAAAGTCTCTTGTCTGGTTTTCAGTGAACTTTCCTTAACTGACACCTTTGGTACTCTGTCAGAGACCTGAGCCTTATTTTCCATGGAATAAAGCAGAAGGGCTGGCTTCTTTTAGCTCCCTGGAGGCTGCATTTCTTCTTTTACATATAGAAAGGTGGTTGCTAAAATCTGAACACAGACTACCTACTCTATGGGGTGAGGAAAAGGAATCTTGGGGAAATCCTACTTCCCTTAATATCAGAGAATGATACCCAAATGTCTTTGAATCCAGTTCTTTTCTCCTCTTTTGTTCTTCCAGGGTCACAAACCTGTAGCCACTCCAGTAAAGATACCCTGCAATGAAGCTGAAAACAAGAGAAGTTACCATATGTGTGACCTCTGTAACCGAGTTATCATTGGGGACCGCGAATGGGCAGGTAGATCTGCAAAAAGGCACAGAGAAATCTGTAGGGGTGGGACACTTTGGCTTCATGAAGTTTAAGGTCTTTGGTAGGTAGGAGGATAGAGTCTGCTTATTTCTAAAGGGATGACTGGATTCTTTAAAAGCCTGTGCTCAAATCCCATAGAGACTGCCAAATGGGGGAGCTTTGTCTATATTCTGATTTTCAAAAAGAAGACCATTATGTCCTCCAACTTCAGCTGGAGTAGATGCCTTATACTGAAAGGTCTGCAGTTAACTTCCTAGAACTTCTTTGACCTGATGACCCTGCCTTGTGGGAGTTGCGAGGTCTTTCATGTACAGAACTCAGTGGAGATGAGATGGCACTGGAAGGGAAGCCAGGCAACTCATCCAAGAGACAAAAAAAAGCGGAAAGATAGGTGGGAGGGAACAGGAAGTGCTGTTAACTCCTCCTGAGTACGTTCTTCAAAAGTGGTACCTTCAGTCATTTTTAAGGTAGTGTATTGAATTGTCGTTGTTGTTAAGTGCCTTTGAGTCGTTCCGACTCATTGCGACCCTGTGTAGGATATCCGAGGAACAGCTGGTGAGTTTGAACTGCTAACCTTGTGGTTCAAGTGACTTTGCAGTCCAGTGCTTAGCCACAGTTTCAGGACTCCATACTGAATTCATTGGTGGTGGCTGCTAAAACTTGATGAAAAGATGTTGTGAAAGCAAGATTGTCAAATGTGTATGAATGGAAGGTTGCTGTTATTGTTAAGTGCTGCCAAACCAGTTCTGACCCATAGTGACCCTGTATAGGATTTCCGAGGAGCGAGTGGTGAGTTTGAACCACCATCCTTGCAGTTCAAACTGACCCCGTGGTGGAATGCTTATCCTACAGTACCATACCAGGACTCCAATATCTTATTAGTCCATGCCAACACCTTTGTATTGTCATGACTGAGAACATGGGATGTAAAGCCACAACATCTGAATGGAAGAAAATGGTGGAAGGTAGTCATGTCTTTATCCTACATTGGTGTCGCACTGTAGGATAAGCACTGGAGTGTTTACCTCAGGGACGGCGGTTCAGACCCACCAGCCACTCCTCAGAAACCATATATAGGAACTGACTCAATGGCACTTAATAACAACAGCCAACTGTTATTCCTGTCCTCAGGCTCTATATCTCTGATGTTAGAGCCTGGATCTACCTCTACTATGAAGTCACATTGCACTGCCCTCTTGGATATCTGTTTTGCTGTTGTTGTTAAGTGCCGTCAAGCTGGTCCTGACCCATAGTGACCCTGTATATGGTTTCTGAGGAGCGGCTTGGTGAATTTGAATCGCCAGTAAAAGTCCAAATAGCCGTCACCTCCGGACCTTGGATTTCCATTGTATTTAGAGACACTTTTAAGGCTCACTCTTTTTAGGCACAAGGAACCCTGGTGTGGTACAGGGAGTGAAGCATTGGGCTGCTAACTGAAAGGTCAGCAGTTTGAACCCAGCAGCTGCTCCACAGGAGAAAGATGACTCAGTCTGCTTCTGTGAAGGTTTACAACCTCAGAAACCCTAGGGCACAGTTCTACTCTGTCCTAAAGGGTCACTGTGATCGATGGCAATGGATTCTCTTTGGGCCCAGTAGGGCTTGTAGTTTACCCAGCAGCTGGCCTCCTTCTGCTGAGAGTACTGCTTTGCATGGCATCCTCATAGAAATAGATTTTTCTCCCCATACCAACCAATAGAGTGATTCGTTCTATTAACTACTAACTCTGGCAAAATGAAATTCATTGTCAGAGACTGGGGATGGCTGTGATTGCCCAAGCAGCAGAAGAAGCCTCGATTGTCGTTGGCTTATGAAAGGAAAAAGAGAAAAAGACTGTCTGATTGTTTTTTCTAAGAGAAACTTAGTGGTTCGATTTGTGGACTGTCCTTCAGGGATAGCCTCAGAGAAGCAACATTTGTGAGCCTTTGTGAGCTCAGCTTGTGTAAGCCCTTCTATAGTGCCATCTGTCAAGTCCTTGCTCCCATCTCCTGCTGCCATGAAGAGCCCAGCCAGAAGCCCACTTTTTGCCTTAGGCTTGAGCTGGAGAACAAAGCGGACTTTTTTTTCCCAAGTAAACTTTTCTTTGACTTTTAACCTCCTTCTTACTTATTTTCATACTTCTGAACTCTTAAAAATGACGTATTTTTAGTATGTATAAAAAGAGAGTTTAATCTAATAATCTCTGTCCTTAGGTCTTCCCCAATGAGATTTCCTTTGAAAAGAACAAGACAGTGAAAATGAGCCCATGTGAGTTAATCAGAAGGTGGTAACTGTCTTAGGGGTGAGAAGTCAGACGTTAATATCAAGCAAGAGAGGCCTTTCAGCTCCTGCTCCTGTGGACCCTCAGGCAGGATCAGCAGAAGGGATGCTTGTGGAGACTGATAGTCAGATGGTGTCTCTAGACGAGGCACAGGGATCTCAGAGCAGGAAGGACACGCTGGTGGCAAGGAAGAAGTAGGCAGAGCAGCTCTATTCCTCACTCTCTGTAGTGGTGGGTGCTGCCAGCAGCACAGGCCATCTCATGTCCTCCAGCACAACTCTTTGTAATACAGACAAGGGTTTGAATTTGTAATTTTTTTAACCTTTTAAGTTCAAATGCTTCTGTAACCGGAGGCCTTACACACAGGCCCTGGTTCTGGAAATGGGCTCTCTTTTTGAAGTTATAGGCAGACACAGAAGAGTTTACCCTGCTGTGCAACTTAGGACAAAATGAAGGACCACTCTGAAACTCAGTTTCCCCATGTATAAAATGAGCAGAATGGTATCATCCTGCCAGATTATTACGCGGACTGTTGTTATTATGTGCCACTGAGTTGATTTTAGACTTACAGCGACCTCATGTGACAGAGTATAACTGCCTCATAGAATTTTCAAGGCTGTGGAGTCCTGGTGTGATGCTGTGGGTTAAGGCACTGGATTGCAAGGTTGGTGGTTGAAGTTCACCAGCTACTCCTTGGAAACCCTATACAGGGTCACTATGGCTAGGAACTGACTTTACAGGAACAGATCACTAGGTCTGTCTCCTGTGGAGCCCTGAGTGGCTTTTAACCATTGCACCAGCAGCGCTGGTGAGGATTAGCAATGTAAAACAGCAGTGCGCCGAGCAGGGTGCTGGGCATGCTTGGCTGCGTGGTAGGTGACTGTAGCCTGCTAACTAGCTAGTTGTTATAACTTCTTCTTATTCCTGGAGAAAGGGATTGTGCAATGCATTTTGTTTTCTTTTTGGATGAACTTTTAAAAATTCTAATGAGTTTGGCTTTTGTTTTTTTAATTTTACCAGCGCATCTAAAATCCAAGTCTCACTTATACCAGCTGAAGAAAAGAAGATTGGACTTGGGTGCTGCCACCACCTTAGGAAGTCAGAGTATTTCTCCAGAGTGTGTCAAAGAGCTTTGAGAGGATGGATCCTCAGGGCTGAATGATCAAGAGCTGAAATCCAGCATTTAAGAGACATGTCTAATGACTTTTGCAAAGGTGGAGGGAACCCAGTTCAAAAGGGAGGGAGGGATACATGTGTCTCCTAGTCTAGGCTGAGCAGTACTACACAGAAAGCGACCACCGTTTTCTTCCATTCAGATATTGTGGCTTTAAATCCCATGTTCTCTGTCACGGAAACAGCAGGTCTTGTTAGCTTCTTTTTATGACTGATGTATCTGGTGATTATACACTTCCGGAAAGGAGTTGGGTTTTTTTAAAATCTTTTAACCTTAAAGGTTCTATTTTTAAAAGAGGCACAGATTGCACTTTTTTACACTTGAGGATTTTCTCAGTGGTGAATACCAGGGTTCGCTATATCCTTAAAACAAGTCTTATGTCCCTACTCTGGCTAAAAATATCTAATTTCCAGGCACTTTTATAGGTGACTAAAGTATTGTAAGCTGCAAACCAGGAGTTCTGGATTTGAGTGAATGCCCTGAGAGAACCAGTCCCTTGTGAGGTGATTGAGTGAACCAGAGTAAGTCTTGGAATTTCCTTGGAAAAGGAGGGGATTAGATGAAGGTGGTTGTGAATATGGGACTAGAAAAGAACAGGGAAGCCCAGTTAAAACCACTATTATTCAAAGATTTTGGACTGTGTTGAACTGCTCCTTTGTGGTCATCACTATTATAACTGCCTGTTGAGTTAGTAATCTGTATTTTTATTGAGAGTTAAATAAAAATTTTATACAAACCTCGTTGTTTAGTTCAGTTTGACTCATAGTGACTCTATACAGGTTTCCTAAGGAGCAACGGGAGGGTTTGAATCGCGACTTTCTGGTTTGCAGTCCAGTGTTGATCCTACAGTGCCACATCAGAGCCTCATTGGTCGTCAGTTGTCATATGGTCATTGGTCATCAGTCTCATATGTCTGTCAGTTTGTCGTACTGTGGAGGCTTGTGAGTTGCTGTGCCACCGGTATTTTAAATATTAGTAGGGTTACCCATGGTGGACAGGTTTCAGATGAACTTCCAGACAAAGACTAGAAAGAAGGAGTAATGAACTGCTTCCGAATATTTAGTCACTAAAAACCATGTGAATAGCAGAGAAACACTGTCAGACATAGTGCCAGAAAATGAGCTCCTCAGGTAGGAAGGCATTCAAAATGCGACTGGGGAATAGCTGCCTCCTCAAAGTAGAGTTGACCATGATGATGCAAATGGAGTAAAGCCCGTGGGACCTTCATTTGCTGATGGAGCATGACTCAAAATGAAGAGAAACAGCTGCAAACATCCATTAATAATCAAAATAAGGAATGTATGAAGTATAAATCTAGGAAAATTGGAAGTTGTCAAAAATGAAATGGAACACATAAACATTGATATCTTATGCAGTAGCTGAAATGGACAGGTATTAGCCATTTTGAATCTGACAGCCACATGGTTTACTATGCCGGGAATGACAAATTGAAGAGGAATGGTGTTGCATTCATTGTCAAAAAGAACATATCCAGATCAGTCATGAGGTACAACGCTGTCTGTGATAGGATAATATCCGTGCACCTACAGGAAAGCCTAAGCCATTTGAACTGCAAGATCGGCAGTTCAAGTTCACCAGCTGCTCCTCGAAAACCCTATACAGGGTTGCTATGGGTTGGCACCGACTCCACGGCACTTCACAACAACAACAGGGAAGCCCAGTTAATACCACTATTATTCAAATTTATGCACCAACCACTAGAGCCAGTGAGGATGAAATAGAAGAATTCTACCAACTTCTTCAATCTTAAATTGATCAAACATGCAATCAAGATGTATGATCATTACCGGTGATTGGAATGCAAAGGTTGGGAGCAAAGAAGAAGGATCAGTAGTTGGAAAATAAGGCCTTGGTGATAGAAATGATGCTGGAAATCGCATTATACAATTCTGCAAAATCAATGACTTGTTCATTTCAAATACCTTCTTTAGACAGCATAAGAGACAAGTACACATGGACCTCGCCAGATGGAATACATAGAAATCAAATTGACTATATATGTGGAAAGAGATGATGGAAAAGCTCCATATTATCAGGCAAAACAAGGCCAGGGGCAGACTGGAACAGACTATCAATTACTCATATGCAAATTCAAACTGAAGCTGAAGAAAATGAAAACAAGTTCACAAGAGCCAAAATATGACCTTGAATATATCTCTCCTGAATTTAGAGATCATCTGAAGAACAGATTTGATACATTAAACACTGAAGACCGAAGACCAGAAGAGCTGTGGGATGACATCAAGAACATCATACAGGTAGAAAGTAAAGAGTCATTAAGAAGACAAAAAAGAAGGAAAATGTCAAAATGGATGTCAGAAGAGACATTGAAACTTGCTCTGCAGCATAGAGATGCTTAAGCAAATGGAAGAAATGGGGAGGTCCAAGAACTGAACAGAAAATTTCAAAGATCAGTGTGAGAAGATAAAGCCAAATATTATAACAAAATGTGCAAAGATCTGGAGTCAGAAACCAAAATGAACGAACATGCTCAGCGTTTCTGAAGCTGGGGAAACTGAAGAAAAAATTCAAGCCTCGACTTCTGTTATAGAAGGATTCTCTTGGTAAATTACTGAATGATGCAGAAAGCATCAAGAGAAGATGGAAGGAATACACAGAGTCACTGTACCAAAAGGAAATGGTGATGTTCAACCGTTTCGAGAGGTAGCATATGATCAAGGGCCAATGATACTGAAGGAAGAAATCCAAGGTCCATTGAAGGAATTGGCAAAGAACAAGGTACCAGGAATTGATGGAATAAACATTGAAATCTTACAAGAAAATGATGCAGCACAAGAGGCACGCAATCATTTATGCCAAGAAATTTGGAAGACAACTGTCTGGCCGACTGATTAGAAGAGATCCATATTTGTACCCATTCCAAAGAGAGGTGACCCAGTGGAATGCGGAAATCATCGGACAATCTCTTTGATATCCCAAATGAGTACAGTTTTTCTGAAAATAATACAGAAAAGGCTGCAAGCATATATTGACAGAGAACTTCCAGAAGTTCAAGCTGAATTTGGAAGAGGTTGTGGAATGAGGGATATCATTGCTGATGTCCGATGGATCTTGGCTGAAAGCAGAGAATATCAGAAAGATGTTTACCTGAACTTTATTGACTATGCAAAGGCTTTGGATTGTGTGGATCATGACAAGCTATGGACAACATTATAAAGTGTGAGTATTCTGGAACACTTAATTTTGCTCATGAGGAATCTGTACCTGGACCAAGAGGCAGTTGTTTGAACAGAACATGGCAACACTGAATGGTGTAAATTTAAGAAAGGTGTGCGACAAGGTTGTATTCTTTCACCATACTTATTCAACCTGTATACTGAACAAATAATCTAAGAAGCTGGGTTATATGAAGAAAAACGTGGCATCAGGATTGGAAAAAATCTCATTAACAACCTGTGATATGCAGATGATATAACCTTGCTTGCTGAAAGTAAAGAGGACTTAAATTATTTACTGATGAAGATCAAAGACCACAGTCTTCGGTATGGATTGCATGTCAATGTAGAGAAAACAAAAATCCTCACCACTGGGCCAATAAACAGCATTCTTATCAATGGAGAAAAGATTGAAGTTGTCAAGGACTTCATTTTTCTTGGATCAACTATCAACACTCATGGAAGCAGCAGTCAAGAAATCAACGTATTGCATTAGGCAAATCTGCTGCACAAGACCTTTTTAAAGTGTTGAAGAGCCAAAATGTCAGCTTGAGGACTCAGGTGCGCCTGACCCAAGCCATGGTATTTTCAGTAACCTCATATGCATGTGAAAGCTGGACAGTGAATAAGGAAAACCATAGAAGAATTGATGCTTTTGAATTTTGGTGTTGGAGGAGAATATTGACAGTGCCATGGGCTGCCAAAAGAACCAACAGGTTTGTGTTGGAGGAAGTACAGCCAGAGTGCTCCTTGGAGGCCAGGATGGCCAAGCTTCATCTCTCATACTTCAGACGTATGGTCAGGGATGACCAGTCCCTGGAGAAGGATATCATGTTTGATAGGGTATATGGAAGAACCCCAGTAAGATGGACTGGCAAAGTGGCAGCATCAATGGGCTTAAGCATGGTAACAGTAGTGAGGTTGGCCCAGGATCAGGCAGTGTGTTGTTCTGCTTTGTATAATGTTGCTATGAGTCGGTATAGACTTGATGGCACCTAACAACAACAGTTATCAACTTGATAACCTTTTCTCAAATTGGATATTGTTCATATGGTAATACTATCTAAACAAAGCCAGTGTTTGTTGAGCACCTAATATATTTTGGGAAGATAGAGAACTTTATTTTTTAAATTTGAGATTTTGGTATTTCCAGTTCAAGTATTGTGTCTGCAGTGACTTGAATTGCCAACAATGTTCTTGTTAGGTGCAGTTGAATCAGTCTCTACTCGTAGCAACCTTATGCTCAATAGAATGAAACACTGTCCAGGTCTGTGCCAACCTTAAAATTGTTGTTAAGCTTGAACCCATTGCTGCTGCCAATGTGCCAATCCATCTTGTTGGGGGAGTCTTCTTTTTTTTTTTTATTATTTTTTGCTGACTCTGTCTTTACCAAGCATGATGTCCTTTTCCAGGGACTGGTCCATCCTGGTAATACATCTGAAGTATGAGAGACGAAGTCTGGCTTCTAAGGAGCATTCTGGCTGTGCTTCTTCCAACACAGATTGGTTTGTTCTCTTGGCAGTCCATGGTACTTTCTGTACATCACCTGATAGAATTTTGCAACACCAATGACTTTATTGCAAATACTAACAATGTAAATAAAGTATGTTAATGTGTAAAATCTACTATCTGAGAGACTTGGCTTAGGCCAGAGGGAATAAGATGTGGTTCTTGCCTTCAGAAAGTTTGTATTGTTGTTGTTGTTGTCAAGTGCCATCGAGTCAGAACCGACTCATAGTGACCCCATGCACAGCAGACGAAACAATGTTCGATCCTGGGTCAGCCTCACTACCGCTGCCATACTTGACACCATCAA